GCTTAAGGCCACGAGCCCGGAATGGACAGAAGCTAACTGAGATCGCAGTAAAGGGGCAGAAAAAGCAGACTGCTACAGTCCTGGTCCCTGAAACCAATCCCACTTCCCACTAGGGCTCTGAGCAGTGCAGCTCCTGGGATCGTGTCTGGCCCAGCAGCTTAGCTCACGACAAACAGAAGCAGCCATAGAGGTGGCCTGCCCCCCGCCCACACCCAGCTGGCAGAAAGCAGACTCAGGGCCTGGGGCAGGAGGGGTCCCTCCCCCACAGTGGTCCCACTCTTTTTTCTTCTAGAGTTAGAAGGAAAGAGTGGTCAGGACGCCAGAAGAGACCTCACACACAGGCTTGGGTGAAGAACCTCAAGGACACAGGGATACTTTGGAATCTGTTTATTTTTTTTAATCAACCTGCAATATACATATTTAAACCAAGTTAAATGATTCAGAACTACACACCAGGGACACTCAACTTGTCAACCCCTGCCTGAGTGGCCAAGGGTGGTGCAGCTGCCACAGAGAGAACATTGGCATAGAAAGAAACCCTCACAGAGGAGAGGCAGGCACCCTGGGTCGCTCCATATACCAGCTCTCAAGCAGTCCAAGGTGTTCACTTCCTGGGTAACAGACAAGATGCTGACCCAAGGTGATTGCTGGGGAGTGCGGGGGTGGCACACGACACCACTCCCTTCCTCCTCGGTCTGTCTCCTGTACAGCCCTCCAGTTACTTGCCAGGTGTGTGCCCACATTACCTGCAAGGGAAGGGTACCCCTCCAATGTGCAGTTGGCGCACAGGGACTCAACCAGCAAGAAATGCTCTAACCAGCCTCAAATCCACCTTAGGCTGCCTGCTTCCTTATCACAGCTAGCGGGGTGGCCGGGACAAACAAGAGGCCGCTCCCTACTACAGGAGGGAGCCTTCCTTCATCCGGGTGCTGCCAGGCAGCCTGTCCCTTTCCACACAGTCCCATCTGACAGGCCTGGCCACCTGAGGTGAAAATGTCAAGCACACTTTGCTCAGGGCCACTTAAGGTTTCACTCAGACCTCACCTATGGGTTCACCCCTACCTAACAGAGACCCCCAAAGGTCACTGGGCCCGACTCCACATCAGAGCCTATCTCCACCACTCTTCCCGTTTCCTCTCCAGCCCACGTCTGGCCCTGGAGGTCGTCCATTCCGGCTGCGCTCACGGGATCCCTGCCCCACCCTGGAGAAGGCAAGGTTCCCGCAGTAGAATAGCAGCTCAACTACAAGCTTGCTGAGGGCTTGGCAGCCTTGGCCCAGTCGCCCCTCCTAGGAAGCCCTGGACCAAGGAGCGCTCCTTGACCCCAGGCCTGAGGCCGGCTCACCGGCCAATCTGCAGAGAAGGAAGGAGACACCGGCGCCTCCCGATTCGGCACGTGTCAGCAGCGTGGGCGAAAGACCAGGCTACCAGGGGCGCGGGTCCGGGGTCGTCGCTCCGCACCCCAGCCAGCCCGCGAGACGGTCTCAGCGGCCGGGCGCTGCCCCCTCCCTCCCTCCCTCCCTCCCCCAAGCAGACCTTGGCCGTCGTGGGCCGCCCCGTCGCTGTCGTCGCCGCCGCCGTTGCGTGCCGGGTCTAGTGGTCCTAAACATTTCACAATTGCGCTACAGAACTGTTGAACTGTTAAGAACCACTGGACCCGGCGCGCGTGCAGGGAGAAGCTGCTCGTGGCCGGGAGCTCCGGAGCCACAGTCCGCGCCCTCCCAC